AATGCAATTTAGGGGGAATATATTTTAGAATAGTAATTTTTGGAGATCGGGTGTTTAAAAAATAAGAAAATATTTTAAGTTTACGTATAAATGTGAATTTTGAAAAAAAAAATTATTTTTGAAAAAATTAAGCCCGGGATTAAATAACTTCTTGCTATAAGAGAAGATAACCCTACAATTTTTAAATGCAATAATAATTAAAGATGATACTAGTCTAGAATTATAAGAGGAAAAAGAGGCAGCAATAATAGATCTTTACTTCATATTCTTTTAATTTATGGAACGGGTAGGATTGCATCTTCTTACAAGAAATGTTTTATATGTATTATTTTATAATGTAATCTAAATAAATAAAATATCCTATCTATTGTAGCAAAGAAAGACAAGACAACGCACGTTGGTTTCCTCAAGTATTGTCAAAATTGAATTTCTCACTTACCCGTTTGATTTGAAAATTTTAACACTGTACCAAGAATCAATCCAATTATACTTTAAAAACTAGGACCATGCCGGCTGTATGGGCCACACACATACAAGGGCTGGGTGATTATTATTATTTTTTTTTAATTTTTTTTTTCAAATAATCACCCACCCCCATCCCACCCACGTCGGATGTGTCTGGCCTGTACAGACCCCGTGCCAGCATTTTCCTAAAAACTATAAGATGAAACTTGATTTATTGGCTGGATCCATTAGGAACAAATTGAGCTACCCACGAGTTGATTAGATTTATTATTTTATTTTATTTATTTATGAAAGAGCAACTGGGTATTGCTTGACTTCAATTTCAACTCCATATTCATCTTTTAACCTTAAATAATGGTAGTTGATGCTACCAAAAAATATCACCTGAAAATCTCTAGCTTGATGATTGGGATGGAACACGAACTGCGCATTCTGGTACCTGAAACAAAGGCAACGGGGTTTGTGCTCGTCGCCTCTCCGATGCTTAAGTCAGACAGGGAATTTTATGCGTGAGGCTATAAACTGAGGATAATAATGAAGAACGTACCTTTGGAATGAGCACAAATTGTGTATTTATAGGTGTTAGTGGTTGAGTCCTAGGAGGACTGATTCTGCCACAATCCTTCTACTCGTAGGAAAAGGAGTTGGTGTTTCACCTCATGTATTTAAATCACTGTTTAAGTCAAAGAAGAAGTCTAAGAAGGTAGGGATTGTGTTCAAGGTAGGATTAGTGCTTCCATAGGTCACATATGGAAGTTGACGAGTCATGACCTATACCCCGACCTCAAATACCCAAACTGGTTTTGGTGTTTTTAGATGATGATAAGGTCGGGGTTGGAGGTGTGATCGGGGTTCGATAATAACGAGATCTGGAATCATCACTGGCCCCCGTGCATCGAGGTCGTAGAGGCCGTCTCATTCTGGTCTATGAGCGAAGATGTAGAGGCATGAACATCCAGATGTTTCTCCACGTGTCGAGTGTTGGATGGGATGTCAGTGAACGATCTCAGATGGCCGCCATGTGTAATGTCAGAGCACGACCTTAGATTCTCGCCACGTGTCTTGGTCCAAGGGATGAGATTGCATGACCGTTGGTATTCCTCAGTCCCCTATAAATATCCAATTTTCACTCTCATTTTCTCACTTTTAACTCTCAACTCCCAGTAAATTGAGCTCGAGTTCGGGGATTAGTAGGGTTTGTGAGCGACTATCCACAGAGGTAAGAGTTCGAGCCCTTAAGTTGTTTTATTTGATTATAGCATAATGTCGAGTAGTGGTAGCACAGGTTCAAGTAGTAGTGACAGTAGTCAGGCTCCTAGGGACTCAAACTATAGTGATAGGCCTGAAGATGTAAATACATCCATTATACCTATGGCCATCCCCATTAACTCTCATAGCGACGTCCTGACCTATCCCAAGGAACCAACTAGGTATAAAGAACATGTAATTATTAAAATAGCTAGAGAATTCGGGGTCATGCTAATTTGTGATATTAGAACCCCAGGGCCAACTGAGACCGTGTTAAGAGCTCGAGAGGGGGAGATGACCTTTTTTAGGGATGCTCTTAAGGCCGGGCTTAGGTGGCCTCTTCACCCATTTTTCATTCATTTTCTGACCTCATACTACCTGTGTCCGAGTCAACTAGCCCCGAACGGTTGGAGGTTGTTAGTGTATTTCTTCATATTATGTAGATGTCTCGAGGTTGAGCCTAGGGTCGACCTACTTCGAATGGTGTTTGATATGAAGTTTTCCTAGGGGTATAATTGTTTTGTTTATTTATCAACAAAGGGGGGGGGGTTTAGAACTCCTGATACCCCGAGCTCACTTAGAGGTTGGAAGGAGCGTTTCTTTTTTGTGAAACCTCAAGACCTCGATCATCCATTTAGCCCGAGGTGGGAAATCCCTAACAAGGATAGGTTTAACGAAGGTCAGGCCTATTTTGAGGTTTTAGAGAGAGATAGGCTGAGGTTAGTGAACTACGACCCCTTTTGCAGACAAGATCGATTTCTTGCTTGAAGACGACACCCTCGACCTTGCTAACGTGAAAGGCCTCGAGGGTACGATCTTTCTTTTTATGCATTATTTGATATTTCATGGATAATCATCGACCTATAATTCGAGCTAATGCCTTTACATTTTTGTTTGTAGAATTCGAGATGTCTTTCGATCCATCAGCTCTCTTGGAGAACGTTCATAAAAAGGCCAAGGGCCTGAAGTCAAAAGCCTCGACAACGGCTTCGTCCAAGGGGAAGAAGCGGGCATGGGAGGTCGCTCGTCCAACCATGGTGGATTTGGGGCAGAGTTCACAAAACCCGACCCCTTCGAAGCAGCCAACCCCTCAACCACAAGTCCTCGAACCCCTTGTTATGGGTCAGACCTCTTGGCTGATGATGACGACCATATGCCCACGAAGTCGCTCGAGGAGTACGCCGAATGTGCTCTTATTCAGGGCATAGTTGAGAAATATGAGAAGGAGGTCGATATAAACGAGGGAGTTCGGACTCTAGAGCTCCTTACACTGAAGGAACGTTTTTAATATGAATGCTCGTGTAGCCCTGATCGGTTTCATAATTTGTACTCACGTCGAGCTTTATACATGTTTTTGCAGACACTAAGTGTCGCTCGAGGTCTTGGGCTCAAGGGTTTGAATTCTTCAGATCGCATAGCCGAGCTCGAAGTCAAGAGCGAGGTTGTGTTCAAGAGGGCCAAGGAGCTGGAAGAGGCCCTGGAGGCGGCCAAGGTGGACCTCAAGAAGGCGGAGGACGAGGTCGAGTTTGCAAAGGGCGAAGCAAAGGAAGCGAAGCTCGAGCTCATTCACTCGCGAAGCTCTTTTGAGGCGGAGCTTGCGAGGGTTCAAGCTGAAACCCGAGCTCAGGCCATCGATGACTTCAAGAAGTCTGATGAGTTCAAGACTCTCCTGGGTCAGTATGGGTCCGGCTCGTACTACTATGGTTTGCGTCTAGGTCGGTCGTTCCTCAGGATGAAGCTCCCCGAGGATTTGAAGTCTATAGTGGAGGAGCTAAAGACTGTGAACGAGCTCGCTAAGGACCTCGAGCTATCCTCCTCCGAGGGTGATGGGGATGATGAAGATGACGATGCTGGAACCCCCGACAATGGAGGGGGTAGTGACCACATCGACCTAGACTAGGCCTTTCCCGACCCCGAGTTTTGTAATAATTTTTCTTTTGCTGATGTTGTCTGCCCGATCTGGGCTTATGTACTTTGGTTTTTTAATATATGCAAGTTTATTGCCCGAATTGGGCCTCTGTCTTTTATCAGTTCATGCATTTTATTATTCAGATCGTGTGTTGATCTTGTATTGTAATTTTGAACTCATTATAGTTTAGAGTTTGGTTGTTAGGGAATGTGTCCTAGTCTTTAAACTTATAGCCTGTGCGCGTAGAGTATTTCGGGTGTCTTTTTTCTGAGTTCAGTGATGTACCTTTGGGAGAAGTTAGATCGCGCACTAGTGTTGAACTCTTGTTCATATTGAGGGTTGACCCCAACATTTAAGTTCGGTGATGTACCATTGGGGGAACTAGATCGTGCACTAGTGTTGAACTCTTGTTCATATTGAGGGTTGACCCCAACATTTAAGTTCGGTGATGTACCATTGGGAGAACTAGATCGTGCACTAGTGTTGAACTCTTGTTCATATTGAGGGTTGACCACAACATTTAAGTTCGGTAATGTACCATTGGGGGGAACTAGATTGTGCACTAGTGTTGAACTCTTGTTCATATCGAGGGTTGACCCCACCATTTAAGTTCGGTGGTGTACCTTTGGGGGAACTAGATCGTGCACTAGTGTTGAACTCTTGTTTATATCGAGGGTTGACCCTACCATTTAAGTGGGCAACTATATTAATATTGACCCGACCTCGATCTTAAAATTTATACATTGCCAAGCATTCTGGGATCTTTTAAGGTCGGGGATAACTGCAGCGTCATATGCATTATGACCCGACCTCGAGCTAAAGATTTATTCGTTTAACGTCATTCTGGGATCGATGAGGTTGGGCTTATATGCTCGACCTATATTAGCTTGAGGTCGTGTGTGGTATCGGTAAATATATTAGCTGCATGCGCGGGGCATGGCCTTACGCTAATTTAGTAAAAGGTTTTTGGTTGCATGCGCGGGGCACGACCTTATGCCAATTTTAGTAAAGGTATTAGCTGCATGCGCGGGGCACGACCTTATGCTAATTTAGTAAAAGGTTTTTGGCTACATGCGCGGGGCACGGCCTTATGCTAATTTTAGTAAAGGTATTAGCTGTATGCGCGGGGCACGGCCTTATGCTAATTTAGTAAAAGGTTTTTAGCTGCATGCGCGGGGCACAACCTTATGCTAATTTAATAAGGATCAATATCATAAAGAAAACTTCTTGTGTCATTTAAAAGGCTCGAGAGCGTTGCATACCCGAGCTCATTTGAGCATGAGTTAACTGGGCATTAGAGCCCGAAAAGTAAAAACGAAATTAAGAAAATATGAAGCGGGCATGCAAGCCCTAAAGGAAAATTAACAGCTATAGCTAATCACTTGTAATATATTTTCAGATTGTTGGCGTTCCATGGCCTTGGGAGTAGATTCCCTGATGTATCTCTGAGGCTATAAGCTCCCCCTTTAAGTTTTCTTATGACCTCGTAGGGTCCTTCCCATGTTGGCCCAAGTTTCCCTGGTTGGTGCGTGGCGGCTTCTGCTTTCCTTAGGACAAGATCGCCGGCTCTAAATCTCCTGTTCTTGACCTTCTTGTTGAAGTGCTTCGCCGTTCTATTTTGGTAACTTGCAGTCCTAAGGGAAGCTTGCTCCCTTACCTCCTCGAGTAAGTCGAGATGTTCGGCAGTCTGTGTCTCCTTATTTGTCTCAAGCTTTCTTATTGTGGGGAGGCTAACCTCAATTGGAATGGTAGCCTCAAGTCCAAAAGCTAACATGAATGGCGTTTCACCAGTTGCTGTCTTGTGTGAAGTCCTATATGCCCACAGTATCGAAGGCAGCATGTCAGGCCAGTCACCTTTGGCGTCTCCTATCCTTGTTCGGAGGTCTTGCAATATGATCCGATTAGTTACTTCAGCTAACCCATTACTTTGTGGGTGTGAGACCGAGGTCAGGCGATGATCAATCCCATTGCTGGCGCAGAAGTTCTTGAACTGGGGATTGTCGAATTGTCTCCCATTATCTGTGATGAGGACTCTTGGTATCCCGAATCTGCATATGATGGACTTCCATATAAATGATCTGAGCTTCGGTTCTAAAATTGTTCCTAGAGGTTCGGCTTCTACCCACTTTGTAAAATACTCCACTGCCACAGCTACAAATTTTAATTGTCCTCGGGCTAAGGGAAAATGCCCAAGAATATCAACTCCCCGTTGCTCGAAGGGAGCTGAGTAGTGAATGGATGTCAGTTCCTCAGCAGGAGTATGTATGATGTTGCCAATCCTTTGGCACTTGTCGCACTTCCGAACGTAATCTGGGCATCTTTCTTCAGACTTGGCTAGTAGTATTCATACCTTATCAACTTATGTACCAGAGCTCGGGCTCCTTGGTGATTCCCACAAATGCCTTCGTGAATTTCAGTCATTGCTTGAAGGGACTCGGAGGGTCTAAGACACCTTAGATAAGGGAGTGTAAGACTTCTGTGGAACAGGACTCCTTCGATTAAGCAATATCTAGCAGCTCTATACCGAATGCTTTGGGCGAGCCGAAGGTCTGCAGGAATGTTGCCATTACTTATGTAATCAACTATTGGATCTATCCAGGAGGGCTCATGGTCGATGTCCATGATTGTTGGTCTCTGGGCTATACTTAGTTCTGCAACCATCTTGATGTGCACGGTTTTATTGAGCTCGTCAACGCCCATGAAGACGAGTCTGGATAATGCATCGGCTTTGGCATTTTCGGCTCTGGCTACCTTCAGAATTTCACAACTTACGAACTGCCTCTGGAGGTCATGTACTTTCAAACAATATAAGCTCATTTTTTCATCCTTTCTTTCGAAAGACCACACGATTTGCCTGACCACTAGCTGCGAGTCACTGAAAACTTTGATGCGCTTGCACTCAAGATTTTTCGCGAGTTCTAGGGCAATAACAACAGCTTCGTACTCTGCCTCGTTATTGGTAGCCTGGAATTCAAATCTGAGAGCGCATTGTATCTCTGTAATCTTGTCCGGACTGGTGATAATAATGTCGGCCCCCGAGCTCGAGCTATTGGATGCTCCATCAACAAAAATTTTCCATATTCCTGAGGTCGAGTTTGGGCTCCCGGTAGGTGTTTCTGAGGATCTCGGGGTGAGCTCTACTATGAAGTCGGCCAAAGCTTGGGCCTTGATTGCAGGCCGTGGCTTGAATTCTATGTCAAATTCGACGAGTTCAATTGCCCATTTCAGCAGTCTTCCTGAGATGTCCGGCTTCTGAAGTATATGTCTGAGAGGTTGGTTGGTGAGCACAACAATTGGATGTGACTAGAAGTATGGCCGTAATTTTCTAGCAGCTACTACTAAAGCAAGGGCGAGTTGTTCTGCAAGTGTATATCGTGTTTCTGCATCAAGGAGCACTTTACTTACATAGTAGATAGGTTGCTGAACTCTTCCTTTTTCCTTTACCAAGATACCGCTTACTGTGTTCTGAGAAACTGCCAAGTATAATAGCAGCGTGTCACCGGGTTCGGGTTTAGTAAGGACTGGAGGTGTTGACAATGTCTGTTTAAGCTCCTGAAAGGCTAAGTTGCATTCCTCGTTCCAGTTGAACCCCTTATTTTCCCTAAGTAGTTTGAAAAAGGGGGGGCACCTATCAGCTGCCAGAGAAACAAACCTGTTAAGTGCTGCTATGCGACCTGTCAACTTCTGAATGTCCCTTTTGCATTTAGGGGCCTCCATACTTATCAGAGCTTGGATTTTATCGGGATTTGCCTCTATTCCTCTGTGCGTGATCATAAAACCCAGGAATTTTCCAGATGCCACCCCATATGCACATTTTGCCGGGTTGAGCTTCATGTTGTACCTCCGTAACGTAGCAAACACTTCCTCTAGATCAGAAACATGGTTACTCGACTATTTGCTCTTAACCACCATATCATCCACATACACTTCGACTATTTTCCCAATTAGCTTAGCGAAGATCTTGTTCACTAACCTTTGATATGTTGCTCCAGCATTCTTCAGACCAAAGGGCATGACCTTGTAGCAGTAGATGGCTGAATCTGCCATGAACGAGGTCTTCTCTTGATCTTCTTCTGCCATGAGAATTTGGTGATACCCCGAGAAAGCATCCAAGAAGCTGTACAACATATGACCTGACGTGCTATCTACGAGATTGTCAATTCTGGGCGGGGGATAACTGTCTTTGGGGCATGCTTTATTCAGATCTATGAAGTCAATGCAAACTCGCCACTTTCCATTAGCTTTCTTGACAAGAACCACATTGGCAAGCCATTCGGGATATTGTACCTCTCGAACGAACTGTGCATTAAGGAGTTTGGTAATCTCCTCTTTTATGACTTCTCGTCTTTCCGGTGCAAACTGCCTCTTCCTTTGCTTCACAGGTCTTGCTTTCGGGTTCACGTTAAGTCTATGTACTGCAACCTCTGGATCAATTCTAGGCATGTCCTCAACATTCCAAGCGAATACATCAATGTTTCAGGAGAGACAGCTTAAACGTTCAGCCATGATCTCTGCATCTAACCCCCGACCAATTGTCACTTTTCTTCCAGGCTCGATCTCGACCTCTTCCAATCCTTCTACCGGAGCCAGCCTTCCGTGATTTTCGTGCTCGAGCTCGAGCTCTGTAACTTGCGTGATGTCATTTTTTATTTTCGAACATTGGTCACATAACACTGTCGGGCCACGGTTTGGTTGCCTCGGACTACCCCGATGCCATTAGGAGTAGGGAATTTCATAGCCAGGTGAAAAGTTGAGATAATAGCTTGAATTCTGTTGAGCATTGGTCTTCCTAATATGGCGTTGTAAGCCATTGGCGTACAGACGACTTCAAAGGTAGTGATCTGCGTTACCTGCTTACTTTCAGTTCCCAATGTTAAGGGTAACCCGACGATACCTTCTGGGGTGATGACCCCACCTCTGAACCCTTGCAGGGGTGTTTTCACTGGCTTTAGTTGTTCGGACGAGATCCCCTTTTGAACAAAAGCTTCGTGAGACAGTACGTTTGCTGCACTTCTGTTATCTACCAGAATTCTCTTGATTTCAAAGTTGGTGATGATGGCCGATATGACAAGGGCATCATCATGAGGGAATGCTATGCCTTCCAAGTCATCCATTCCGAAACTGATGTCCTCTGTACGACCAAGATCTGGTCTTGAGATGAGCGGCGGCTGTTTGGCATATTGTTTTCGCCCACTACTAGAGTCTCCTCCCGAGGCTGTTCCTCCGACAATGATATTGATAGTGCTTGCAGTTGGTTGCTTGTTTCCCCGATCCTTAGGGCCTTTTCCCCCATTCTGGTTATTCCTCGGACGTTTGTCATTGTTAATGTAAGAGCTCAAAAATCCTCTTCTTATAAGAGCTTCGATTAACCGCTTTAAGGCCAGACAATCTTCTGTGGTATGGCCGTGATCTCTATGGAAATCACAGTATTTGCTCTTGTCACAAGTATCGGGGGGAGACCGCAATCGGGGAGGCCATTTCAGTTCCCTAGAGTCCTTGATTTCCATCAGGATGTTGGACCTCGAAGTGTACAGGTGGGTAAAAGCTGTTGAGGGTGGATCTTTTCTTGGTTTGACCCTAGGTGTCTCTTTACTTAAGTTGGACTCATGTGGCCTTTTCTAATCCAACCTCCCTGATGAGGTAACTTCCCTTTTTGGGGTCATGGTTTCTTCCATATTGATGTATTTCTCAGCCCGTGTGAGTAGCTCGGTTACAGACTTCGGTGGGGTTTTAGACAAGAACTTTTTGAACGCTTCGCACTTAATGGCGTAAGTCAGAGCTGAGACTGCAGCTGTGATATGTAGATAGGGGATCTGAAGCCTTTCTTTGTTGAACCTGGTCATGACACTACGCAGTGTTTCGTTGGGTCCTTAACGTATCTGCATGAGCGATACAGCTGTCTTTCGGATTTTTTTGCTGCTTGCAAAGAAAGTGGAGAATTTGTCAGCCAAATCTGAGAAGGAGGTGATGGAGTTCGGTTCCAATGTGGAAAACCAATCTCTAGCCGCATTCGTGAGGGTTTGAGGGAATGCCTTGCACATTACCGCATCTGGTGCAACCTGTAAGTTCATGATATCCGTGTAGACATTGAGATGGTTGATGGGGTCGGTTGTCCCGTCGTACTCCTTTATCCAAGGATACTTGAACCTATAGGGAATGGGGTATGAGAGGACTTCTGGAGTGAATGGTGTATTGGGGGTGAACCCTGTTGCTGCTTGAGTATTTTGTTGCATACCTGCTACTATCCCTTCTTGAATAGTTCTTGCAAGTTCGGCGGAGTCTATTGTAACGGACCTTGAACCTGATGCAACTTGTGGTACCCCTGAGGTTCCAACCCCATCGTCATCATAGGTTGCATGATGAACTCGAGTCCGGGCATCTGCCATAAAGCCACCTTCAGGTGTTGGGGTGTGAGATGGATGCGAATTTCTCTGATTTAGCAGTTGGGTCAATGCAACCACCTGCTGGCGAAGTTCCTCAAAAGCTCCGGCGGAAACAACAGCTTGAGGAGGTGCTGGCATCTCCGACGACTCTTCTTGAGGCATATGGTGAGCCTCAGGAGGTGGAGGGTTATCCGGGACGGATGAGCTAGCTGGAGGAAGACCTAAACGTGTATTGACCATGGCTTTTGGTAGCGAAGTTCCCACAGACGGCGCCAATGATGCTACCAAAAAATATCACCTGAAAATATCGAGCTTGATGACTGGGATGGAACACGAACTGCGCCTTCCGGTACCTGAAACAAAGGCAACGAGGTGTGTGCTCGTCCCCCCTTCGATGCTTAAGTCAGACAGGGAATTTTATGCGTGAGGCTATAAACTGAGGATAATAATGAAGAACGTACCTTTGGAATGAGCACAGGTTGTGTATTTATAGGTGTTAGTGGTTGAGTCCTTGGAGGACTGATTCTGCCACAATCCTTCTCCTCGTAGGAAAAGGAGTTGGTGTTTCACATCATGTATTCAAATCACTGTTTGAGTCAAAGAAGAAGCCTAAGAAGGTAGGGATTGTGTTCAAGGTAGGATTAGTTCTTCCATAGGTCACATATGGAAGTTGACGAGTCATGACCTATACCCCACCTCAAATACCCGAACTGGTTTTGGTGTTTTTAGATGATGATAAGGTCGGGGTTGGAGGTGTGATCGGGATCAAGTAGTTGGGGTTCGATAATAACGAGATTTGGAATCATCAGTAGTTATTTCTATTAGAAACGAACACCAATTCATCTGGCCGGAATGAATGATAAAATTAATTTAAACAGTGGTCTATATACTTACAATTATAACGCTGAATTACCAAACCTTAGTAGTTTATGACACATGGTGACAGTTTTATATGTTAAACTGTGTTAATGTGTACTAATGACAATGGTTCATTTTTTAAAACCATTGTGGTAGACTGCCAAAGTGGCTGAAATGTGTAAAATCGTTGTCTATGCTATTAAGGACAACTATTAAGTTATATAACCGTCGTGAATAAGCGTTTCGACAAGGATATTCGAGTTTACAGCAATCAATGTCATTAAGGATATAAGACGACATCCGACTAGACAACGGATTTTACTCTCATTTAATAACTCGTAAAACCCGTTGTCTTCGCAAAGATTTTTGGTAGTGTACTTTATTGATATTAGAATTTGCTAGAGATAACAGTTAGTGTCTAGTCGGGCGTTGTGTCGTAGAGGATATAAGACAACGGTTTAATGTCGCTTCACATGTTGGTCATCACCAACGTAAATAAATAATGATGTGTAATGTGTATACGCACATACAGTTCTCTAACAATTATGGGCTCACGATTATTTTAATTGTGAGCTCTATCTCTTGTATATAAGAGGATTATCAATCATAATGTCAAAATTACTGTACTTACTACTTATAGCATTGCCAATATTTTTACTCTATAACTCTTCGACTCATTCCGTTCTCTGAATTTAAAACTTTGAAAGGACGACTGAGTTGCAAATTGTCAACAAACCTATCAACACGTGAAGTATGGGTCAGCCCATAAATGTAAAATAAAGCAATTGAAAAGGTCAAACATTCAAATGCTCACGCCGACATTCATTGTTGGATGGTTGACTAAGTGAGATGTAATTGTTTCATAAACAAAGAAATGCATTAGTCATTAATTTCACAACTTTCACCCACAAACACTTTTATTAGCCCCCGTTTGAGCCCCAATACCTAAAAATGAAAATGGGGGGAATAATATTTTTTAGAAAAATGAGTGATTGAAAAAGAAGGAAAAGTTTTCGATTTACGTATAATATTATTTTATGAAAGATTGTGTGGTTGAAAATAAGAGAGAAAAAATGGAATGTAATGTAATTTAATTTAATGGGGATCAAACGGGGGCTTAATATCGCACTACTTGTCTTTTACAAAGATAATAGGAATATAATTTAGGTCAGGGAGAAATATAGAGAGGAGTGGGAGTTCATCTAATAGGTTTAAGTTCAAATTTGATGCCCCAACTTGATTATTGTACCATTTGATTTTGACATCGCAATATAATTTCGAGGTGTCAAATATTAGTAAATAATTAAGTCGGGAGAGCAGATTTGGACTTGTGTATCATTATGTAAAAGAACAGAACAATCGTATTTCACTAAATGATTAAACTTCATGGCAATTTTAAGGTGCCAAAATTTTAGATATGAGAAGTCGAGCCGGGACAACAAATATGAGCATTAAAGTCTCAAGTTATTTGTAACTTATTTTTATGTTTGATTAATACCTATAATATTGTTGCCTGTTTAGAAGAGGAAACTATGTGACATATACTTCACTCTTTTGATTTCCTATACCTTCTTCTGACTCACAAGGACAACACTATAGGTTTGAGAGCTTATTTTTATTTTATTTTATTTTCATTCATGCTTTCTTTATAATATTGGATAATACGACGAAAAAAATTAAATTCTAATTCATTACATTGTCTAAGAAAGTTGAATGAATTGTTCCAAACATCTTTGGAGTAGGTTATGATGTTGCACAAGAAACAAATGTTAAATATATCATGTAAAAAAAATTTGGGAAAATTAAACAAGAAAATTGAGATGCATATAGACATTATCCAAATAAAATCTTAGATCAAATTATTATATGAGCATAAATTGGACCTTATCAATAAATTCTTAATCAATCATAACATAATTATCTCAAGCAATTCCCAATAACAAAACTATGAGCACGTTTGAATCCCAAAATTCATTTTGAAATAGTATTTTCATGAAGAATATGCATGAATAAAAAATAAGGAAAAATTTTGGGTTTGAGTGTAATAATATTTTATTAAAAAATGTGAGAAAAATGTATTTTGAAGATAATGGGGACCAAACAAGGGCTATATAGCATGAATCACATACAATCTATAACAAGGTTCTCTTAAACACCCCTATTGAATTAGAGCCTAAATGACTCGAGCCAAATCTATACAGAACTACAAAAACTATATAGGTTTAATATTATCAGTGCCAATTTAAAAGTGTTACAAATTAAGTCGAACTGGTGTAAATAGTCTATAAGCAGAGTTGAGATATATTGGCACGAACTTGTTATTTCTTGACATTCCTTCTAATACATTATTGACACTTACGTACACTATCCATTGTTAGCAAATTAGAAGATGTCAACATATTTTCTCATGCTTCATCTTCTCACTTCAAGAGAAGATGTAATTTGTCAAGATATCTGATAGGTCCAAATTGTAATTGGCTAGTTCCCTGTTGAAAATCATATTTATTGAATTGTAATTAAAGTCAAAGAGTCAGGGGTTGGTTGTATATGTCTCGAAGGAGATAAAGAAGTCAAAGACGAAATAAAGAGAAGAAATCACCTTAAAATTGCTCACTGGCCTCGTGAAGAGTGATGAATAAACATTTCGTATAACATGGCATCTCGAATAGCAAGAAATAAATCTCACGCGATGAGGCATCTCAAAGAATGAAGAATAAACATCTCGCATGGCGAGAGATAAATATCTCGCATAACGAGGCATCTTGAAAAGTGAAGAATAAATATTTCGCGTAGTGAGGCATGTCGAAGATGATGCATGGAAAGGCTTCTTTTGTAAGGACAAACAAGTCTGACTGGGCCACAAAGATGCTCATTTTTCAAGGGCAAATATTTCAAGATTTAGCTTCTTCCTTTATTTAAGAAACGAGGACTCTAAGATACTAAACCTTTCTTTATCGGTTGTACTACATATACATAATATATTTAAGTAATGATTTATGTACATATGATATGGTGATATATGATTGGGTCTGAATTTCTTCAACCAAAAAAATAATAATGATAGTAATAAATCCACTCTATTTTTTATAATTCATCTGTATGTAAACTATTATATAATTGTTTATGTACAAGTAGCATTATTTTTCCTTCATTCATGGAACTAGGACCCATAGAATGTTGTCTCTGATAATAAGAAGTACAATTATTAAGGGCTCGTCTTTTTTTTTTTTTTAAGCAGAGACATCTACAAAAGTAAATGAAACGCAATAAATCAGTAAGTACTACTTCCCATACAAATAAAAACTAGTCTATAAACATTTAAAGCTGGACAGTCCATGTCTGTCAATCTGTACAAGTGCCATCATCTGGAGTTAGGACTCGTCTTCAATTATTAAGAAATCCATGAGCTAGAGCTTGCCTTCAATAAATAAGGAATCCACGAGCTAGACCCTATTTGCAATTACTCATGGGCTCGCCTTCAGTTAGTAAGAAAACCACAAGCTATGGCTCGCCTTTGAAGATGTGAGGTCTACAAGCTACTCCTGGTCATGCAAGGTCTTAGAGCTTGCATTGAATGATAGAGATGAGGATCAAAACGACCTTTAAATAATAGAGATTTGGGCAATGTATTTTGTCGTATATTCATCGTACTTTCTCGCAACCTTGAATTGCGTGTACAATGTGCCTAATCATTGAACAGTAATTGTTGAAAGTAAAACTCGCAGAAGAGAAAATATAGTTGGTCATTGCTTCCCACTCTACTTGTTAATTTGATGGTTATCAAATAATTCAGCCACGTCCAAGAGAATTTGAGCTTCCTCTCTGTAATTTTTAATGTAGTAGCAGGTGGCAACTATACTTCAAATCACTGAGATTCAAAAATCGCAATATTTAATTTCGTATTATACATCTCTAGATATTGTTGGATCTAAATGTTCACTATATTATATTTTGCAATATCAAAAATGCATCGAAGAGAAAACAAATTTGAATTCCTACTAACATATAATTCTACATCAAGCCACTACCCATTTCATTTCACACCCATTCACTCAAAATGAAAATTATAAAGTTCCTAATCCTCCATTTGATTCTCATTTTTATAAGAATGAGAATGAAAAATATATTCATTACGGAGACTCATCTAAGAGAGAGAAAATCAAATATGGTAACTTGATGTGATGGATAACGATCATATTTTAAATTTTTTTGCCAAAGAATGGAAAACAAACACGATCTAAATTAGTAACTTGTAACCTCCCCCGTCACCCCACCCCACAATGGGAATAAAAAACAAGCATTCTCAATTGGAAAAATCGGACAGCAGATTTGTCATCAATTTAACCGAATAAAGTATTAACAATTTAGTCAATGCAAGGAAAATACATACACCCCATTAATTCATCAGTCTCCATCACCCCTTCTTTCAACCCAAACTTCACAACAATGGTTAACAAGAACACGAAATCTCACATCGCAAAATCTCACATCCAAGTAAACCACCAAAATCCTCCTCCCACCACCATCGCCGCCTCCTTCTCCGCTGTGGCTGCATGGCTTCCTCTTTATATACTACCACCACCACCACCACCACCACCACCACCATCTCCCTCTTTCTCCTGTATTCTGCACTTCTGCCTTACCCTACACTTTCTGGCCGAGTTTTCAATCACTCTATAACTCCAAACTTCACAGCTTCTTTTCTTCAATTCGTAGACCATTCTGGTGCGTTCTTGGCTTCAAAAAGTGGATCTTTCCAGGCCCGAATAACAAATTCCAAGCAAGAATCACAATCCTACTACTTAGTCATAATTCATGTCCTATCCAACACTATAGTTTGGTCTGCCAATCGCAATACGCCTATTTCTGAATCTTCCGAGCTACGTTTTTCGCCCGATGGGCTAACTCTATACAATGAAACGGGCCACTCCATCTGGTCAACGCCGAGCAAAAAAAGACCCTCTTCTGTTTCATCTTTGCAACTGCTAGAATCAGGGAATTTGATCATGGTCGACGGTATGAATAAAACTGTGTGGGAAAGTTTCGATTCCCCGACTGATGTGATTGTGATGGGACAAGAATTACTCGTCGGAAAATCACTGGTGTCTTCTGTAAACGAAGAGGATTTATCAGAAGGTAGTTATAGATTTGTGATTGGTGAAAATGATGCAATATTGCAATGGAATAGGATGACATATTACAAATTGTCAATGGATACGAAGGCTTTCAGGGACACAAGTCTCGCGGTTGAGTACATGGTAATGAATTTCACTGGAATGTATTTGATGGGCTCAAATGGTACTGTAGTTGTAATACGAGTTATCTTGCATAATTCTAATGCTGTTACTGATGATTCCTCTACTTTTCGAATCCTTAAGCTGGATCCTAATGGTGTTTTCAGTATTGTAAAGATAGATGCAACGGATAGATCCCAAACTCCAGAATTCATGGGTCCAGCTGATATATGCAAAGTTCCATCTATATGCAGAAGTCTTAATGTTTGTACCAATGGAGGAATATGCCAGTGTGCACCAGGATTTCACACTGATCCGATGATGAAAAATGGCGATTGCGTGCCTGCTGATAATTCTTTGGATCTGCCTGATTCCTGTGATGGCTCCTCGTCATCAAATGGTACTACAATAAAGTATACGAGTATGAGGGATAATTTGGATTATTTCTCCAATGATTTTATGGATCCTATTTTGCGTAATGTGACTGTTTCAGTTTGTCAGGATCTTTGCTCTAGAAATTGTTCTTGTTTGGGCATTTTCCACAGTCAGGACTCGGGATCTTGTTATGCGATTCAAAACTATTTAGGTTCCTTTATGATGAAGTCCAATCCAGCTAGAGATAAGGATCGTCTGGGATACATTAAAGCAATAGTGGTCGGAAATCCAAATGGTAATTCGGAGGATAAGAAATCCAATTTCCCTGTTTTGGCAATGGTTCTGTTACCATCATTAGGGGTTTTGTTAATTGCCATGGTTCCAACTATAATTTGGTTGAGGAGGAGGAGGAGGAGGAGAAAGTGGGCTAGAAATGTAAATAAAAAGACAGGCCGTGCCAATTCTTCATCCTCTGCAGAGGGAGAGTTTGAATTTTCTGCGATTCCTGGTCTACCGGTGAGGTTTAACTACGATGAGCTCGTGGTGGCAACTGAAGATTTCAAGACTCGGATTGGTTCTGGTGGATTTGGGACAGTGTACAAAGGTACTCTTCAGGATGGAGCCGATGTAGCTGTGAAGAAGATTACTTGCTTGGGAGCTCAAGGGAAGAGGGAATTTCTATCTGAGATTGGCATAATTGGAAAAATTCATCATGTCAATTTGGTTAGATTAAAAGGCTTTTGTACACATGGGGGGCAAAAGTTTCTAGTCTTCGAGTACATGAATCGAGGCTCGTTGGATCGTAGTCTTTTTGGCAATGATGGACCTGCTTTGGAATGGCAAGAGAGATATGAAATTGCCCTTGGAACAGCAAGAGGGCTAGCATATTTGCATACTGGATGTGAACACAAGATCCTCCATTGTGATGTAAAGCCAGAGAACATTCTTTTACACGACAAATTACAAGTAAAAATATCAGATTTCGGGCTCTCAAAACTGCTTAGCCCTGAGGAATCTGGTTTGTTTACAACACTAAGAGGCACACGGGGGTACCTAGCACCTGAGTGGCTGACTAGCTCGGCTATATCAGATAGGACCGACGTGTATAGTTACGGAATGGTATTGCTTGAAATCTTGAGAGGCAAGAAGAATTCCTCGGCTCAAACCCGAAGCAATAACATTTCAGGAAACAATATCAACACCGGTGATAACCGGTCCTCATCTTCGTCAGGAGAATCTGGACATCGACTAATATACTTCCCCCTCTATGCATTGGAAATGCACGAGGAAGGGAGGTATTCGGAGCTCGTGGATCCAAGACTTGGTGGAAAGGTGAGAATGGAGGAAGTGGAGAAACTAGTAAGAGTAGCTCTTTGTTGTGTGCAGGAAGAGCCATCACTAAGGCCTTCTATGTCTAATGTTGTTGGGATGTTGGAAGGCATTTTGCCTTTGGGGGAGCCGAGGATCGAATCCTTAAACTTCTTGAGGTTTTATGGGAGGAGATTCACTGAAGCATCTAGATTGGAAGAAAACAATGAGCAGAATGAGGTTATTTTGTACAGACAGCCATTAGGTAACAGTAGCACCACTGGCTCATACAATTCTTTCTCCTATATGTCATCACATCAACTTTCAGGTCCTAGATAGTGTTTTTTCTGTGGATATGTGTTCATGTTCATTCCCTCGATATGTAAAAGAAATTTATGTAGTCGACATCAAATTTATTGAGAGTTCATTCACAAGATTTGTCTACCATGCCTTCTCACCAGCGTTCTAAGATTTTAAATATTAACTGAGTAAACACATGAAAACTACAAAACAAGAACTATTTACATGTTCTCGACAAACATACTAACCAACACATGATGGGTGAGTCACTCTAGGAAATGGCGAGGTCAGCAATAAGTTATTTGTACATGTGAACAATCTTTCACATGTTCAGTTTCATTCAACTTGAGCACTCGACTCTTTTTTACACCTGGTCTCGCAACGTTCCTTAGCATGACAACATCGAGCTTCATTTGGTATGTTGTATTGTACTGAAGTGTATACTTTGTTAAGAATCATAAACCCCAATTTTATCGACATCAAATTCATTCTGGGTGAAATAATATATATCATAAAAATCCAACATAAGTAGATTATGTTTGCTCTAAGTATTGTTAAGAAGTGCACGTGTGTGATGTGTGCTACCAAAATTGAAGAGGCGTGTGTTGTGACTTATTAGTGGAGGTTTTTATTGAGATGGTGACATGTGGACTTATGGTAGCCGTAGGATGAAGATTTCTGGGGTGCTCAGTTGGCATAAACCTTCGTCTGGTCATTCCGATGAAATAACTGGTTTTTATTTGTTGTTTCCATTGAATTTTCATTCAGAAAGATTAATGGGAGGCCTTGAGAATCTGAGATAAATTCAATACGGGTTGTATTCTTGGAGTTTCTTGAAGGAGATAACCATGTTAATACTTTGATCTTCTGTTTCTTTGATAAGCCTACAATTGTCCTCTTTCTTTCCGAGTTTATTTTACCAATTTGTTGATTTTCAAAATGATTCTGTGTTTTTAGATAGTTAAAATGTATTTGATTGACATGAAAAATATCACCTAAAAAAGAAAATATTTTCCTTGTTTTGAGAAAAATAAAAACCACCTCCACCCAAGGAAAATATTTTCCTTAAAAACAAGGAAAATTAGGCATATTTTCAAAAGTTGAAAAATATTTTTCATGGAAAAAAATAGCAATCAAACACCCTAAGTAGGAATTTGGATGGAAAACTGATATTTTCTATGAAAAATAAATGTAATCAAATACATCATTAGTGTATCTTTCTGTGAAATAAATAGAACATGCTTTGTCAAAATTTTGGGTTGTAACTTTCTTAATAACTTCTACTAAATTTAAATTGATTTTTTTTATTTTTTTAAATTTTAATTATTACTTTTTTCTTTTTTTCTTTTTTTTTATTAAATGGGAGAAGGAATATTACTATCTGGGGGTAGAAATTAAAGACTAGTCTAATGCGACAACTATGTACTAAAAGTTGTAGATGATTCTTGGCTTGATGACAAATTCCAAGATATAAACTAAAAGCGATTGTATAGAAAAATATTTTCTTTCTTCTGTTTGAAAATATTATAAAAAATATTGGTAATATTTGCGGCTGAATTATGGAATAAACTTCAGGTCCAATATGTTACTAAAATTATTCGAAATAGATGTTACTTATTAACATGTGAGGTGCACAAGAACTTTTAATTTTTATAAATATTATTTTTTGTTATGGGTTGGTATAAACAAGATAATTCTATTGTATACGTAACTTTTCTAAAAGGGAAGTACTACATGTACATAATTATCTACATAATGGTATTTATAATTATACGTGACACTGAATACAACTTTAATTTCAAATTTCACACTTGCACATCAACAATCAAATAATAGTCACATTACATTATGGACACCAATACGTGCAATAATTATGTACAAGTAGAATTTTCCTTTTTAAAATATTTGAGAAGGAAGAGAATAGAAGGGGTTCATCTAAGAGGGCAAAAATAGAGAGAAAAATATAAGAATAGATGGATATAATTGTTGACCCTGTTTTCCGTAATGGTCACATGGACAATGGATGTCTGGCTCACTCGCAATCACACAAGCAAATTTTGACAAGTTTTTTTACTGGAGACACGGTCAGAGATGCACGGTTATGATGAATTGTTGAGGTGAAAAGCTTTATAAAACTATGACTGACTAGTCTATATAAATAAGCTATTGATGGTGAATAATATACACAAGAATGTTTCGCAAAAAAAGAAAAGCACATTGTATAGCTATCAAAAAAAGAAAAAAATAATAATAATAAGGAAAAAAAAAGAAAAAAGCAAAGCACATTATAAAGGAAATTTACAAATTTTAATCAGATTTTAATCTAAGTCAAAGTCAAACAATTAATATTAACCACATCTTTCAAGAGTCCCACAACTTTTCTATAATTCATTTATAATTGTTGAGTCTTTGCAAATCACATATAATTTATTTGGTATGTATCCAAGGGTGTGACATATTGAACAAATCATGTATAATTGCACTAGTCGTGTGCGACGCAGTTTGGCCTGTCGATTTGATACCTCTAATACGAAGTGACATCAAACTATGACTTGGCTTGGTGCGAAACTTGAGAAGCAATTTCACATAATGAAATTGTAAATGCCAACCACCTTGTGTCTTTGTTACTCGGCTTTTTCATCATTGATTTATTATTTATGGACGTTGAGTGCAGAAGTTTCTTCAAGCAATTATCTCGAGTGAACAACTAGGGCCGGCATGACTTTTAATGGGATCGTCATCGGCTGGTAAAAGTAAATTGGTGTTGAGTGCAGTGAGCACCATTAAAACAAGTGAAACTAAAACAGAAATTGCAGATAGAAGGAGTATTAAGATATGAGCAGCACTGTTTTTCACTTGTTGTGCAGACTTAGTTAAAGCAATGGCCATCAATGTTAAAGGGAATGAATAAGCTCACCATGTTACATTGAACTTCTTCATGGATTTCTTGAACAAGGTTGGTCTACATACCCGTTTCACATCAAATATAAGAAGAGGTTATCAGTACTCTAAGAGTGAAAACGTAAGTTTGAAGTATTGACCAATTTATTGACTAGCAATCACATCTATGGATTAAGACACGCTTCTTTCGATCCTATTTTAATTTATTTCGTTTAAACAAGCATAGATCAACTAAATGATATTTTTTTGTAACAATTAGGTCTTTAAGTGGATCAAATTTCGAACCTTATCTAATAACTATGATTTAAGAATTTCCAATTAGTCGAAGTGAAACTTAATATTTGTGGACAAGACCAATGGACGATGACCTTTAAGGTTGCTGCCTTGACTAATTTCGAACATGAAAATGACATGCACACCGTACACAAAATCTTGCACTATGCCAACTTGAAAGTCTTTATGCCATGAAAATGAAAGGTACAGATCACATGCACAAAACCAATTTGAATACCTCTAACAAAGTTGTTTATCTCTTTATGAACTCTCAATTTTAATCATTACCTCTGGTGGCTCGCCCATTTTTTTGTTCTATTTTGAATAATGCAATACATTTTGAATCTCGATATCATAATATTACGAAGTCGAACTAGTGTTTTAATTTAATTCTTGAATTTCGTGTATTCATATCTTAGTAGAATCCGTAATTGAGATCTCATTGGTCCAACGAAGTTTCGATCACTTGGCCAATTTAACCTCCGATGAAGGCGCAACCTCTTACGAAGAAGATGGGTCCCTCTCTAATGGCTGATCTTGCCATTGTCATCACCTCCAATAATTGAAGGTATGTTGACAGTTGTTCAAGGGGAAGTCGTCGTGGTCACAGATCATGGTAGCAGATGAAGAAGTCAACGAAGATTGGTTAGAAAAGAATCTATCACCTTATATATGTGTAGTGGGGTGTATTGTAGGGTTTATACACACACACACATTTGAAAAACAATAAGCACCTGATTTTTGAATAATAATAATAAAATAAATAAATAAACAAATAAATAATTAGTACCTAATTTTTAAAAATGAAACTTAGCCTTTGTTTGGTGAGAATCAAAATCGGAAATTGTTGACACATAAAAATTCAGCCCAAATCGAACGGCCCAAGGAATGAAGCCCAATTGGAGGGTCCCCAAATCAGATAGCCCAAAGAACGAAATCCAATCAAACAATTCAAGACGAAGGCCCAAATAAGGAGGCCCAAGAACGCGGTAACACCATCGCCCAAGTTTGCAAGTCGCCCAGAATCTGAGCGAATGGAGTGCCATGCAGTCGCCCAGAGCTGTTACTCTATTCTAGCCCAAACCTTTAAGTCGCCCAAGGTCTTAGCAAACATAAAGTGTTGTGGTTATTAAGAAGTGCAGTTATCAAAGCAGTTATTAAAGCAGCCCTATCACGTTCCACGATTCAAGGAATTCAATCGAAAACGGTTGAACGACGAAGAGTAATGGCAGCAGTTAAAAAAGGCAATTTCATGACAAGTTGGCCATTACGAGGAAAGTGGGCAGTTGTAGAACGATCAAGCAGTTTTTAAGCGGTTGATCACAAAAAGATCATCCATGGAGTATAAAAGGGAGAAAAGACATAGAGCAAATGACCGAATCAAAAAACTCTCGAATAGAGAACATGTAATTTTAAATTCCTTAACTTAGATTTAAACACTTCTTTCAGTAACTCGTGTGCTTGCGCCCCTTGGAGACATTCTATTTTTAATTTCCAATTGTAAAGTCATCGCCAATAAAAGAACGCCCCTTTTTGGGACTTTGTCTCAAGAGGTTTGTCCCTTACACAATCGTCTGATCCCTTTTAATTGTTAGCGACGAACCCGCGCGAAACAATTTGGCACGCCCAGTGGGACAGTGGTGTTTGGTGTTGAAAATACAAAAGGTGAAACAATATGCCTCAGAGATCCAATAAGGAAGTAGCAAGTCAGGGAGGAATCCAGTCTACGATCGAGCGATACGAGGAGCAGCATGCCTCTCCACGAACAGATGGATAGAATCAGAGCAGTAACAGTCGTTACGAACCAATGATGGAGTTGAGTCCTCGAACCATGCGTGCATTATTTGGAGAACTCACACAAGATGTCATTGAACAGGTAAATTTTCGAAGCATTCATAATATGGAAAGATTTACCTAAAATGGGAATGCACATTATGACAACATGGTCAAACAACTAAACACTTTGAACG